GATTATTGAACATCTAGGCCTGGAGAAAACATGCCAAGCCAGACTAGCCCATGCCTGCCTGTGCCAGAGGCACTCTTTTCTACATTCGGGAGTCCAAGGCTTTTACTCCCACAGCCCAAAGCATCTATTGAGTGTGAAGCCTCAGCTCCCAATCTCCTTTATGTTATGCCTTACTGTCAGAAGCAAAATTCTCTCTGTGAAAAAATTTTGTTTTAGTTCTTTACATACAAATCCTCTTATCTCATCCCAAAGAGTGACTTATCATTCTACTAGAAACAGATCTAAGTCCAAGAAGAATAGCGTATGTCACACAGCACCTCTACCCTTGAGGAGCTATGGCCCTTTTTTCCTATGGCAGCTGTGAACCATTTTATAATAGAAACCATAAAGTCTCCACAGCCTGATCAGGATGCCTGCTTCCTTCACTCAGAGTATTCATCAAACACAGAAATTAAATTCATTTTTCTCACTGAGTGTGTCTTTTGACAAATCGCAAAACTCTGTGAAATTGAGGAGCTGCTGGTTAGGATAAAGATACAGTTAGAGGGGCCGGCCCCGTGGCTTAGCAGTCAAGTGTGCGTGCTCCGCTACTGGCGGCCCGGGTTCGGATCCCGGGCGAGCACCAACGCACTGCTTGCCCAGCCATGATGAGGTGGCATCCCACATACAGCAACTAGAAGGATGTGCAACTATGACATACAACTATTTACTGGGGCTTTGGGGAGTAAAAGGGGAAAAAAAAAAAGGAGGAGGATTGGCAATAGATGTTAGCTCAGGGCCGGTCTTCCTCAGCAAAAAGAGGAAGATTGGTATGGATGTTAGCTCAGGGCTGATCTTCCTCACAAAAAATAAGAAAAAAAAGATACAGTTAGAGAACAGAGAAAACAAATCGCTTGACATCTATGACCAGTTTAATGACAAAGAAAGCCAGGAGCCGTCTGCTACTCTGGCTGACAGCAGGAGTGGGCAGAAGGTGGAAGTGCTCTCCTTGGGCACCTGTGCCTAGTCACCCTGTATGGCATGATGTAAGATGAAAGCATCTGCTGACTCTCAGAGGTATAATTACTACCAGGGTGGGGGTATAATTAAAGTAAGGATAATTTACCTTGAAGAAGATAAAAATTAAGAATTATTAATGATCATAATAATTAGCCCTTTTATATCTAAGAATCACAAAATGCCTTACAAGCTGTAATTATCACAGCTCCCCTCTGAGGAAGAGATTCATATCTTATAGCTCCTCACTTAAGAGAGGGGTGAAGTGATGGGCATGGGGTAGGGCAGAGAGTGGTGGAGTAATGCCTCCTCTGTCATCTGTCCTGTAAGTGGCGAAACTAGAAAGAGGCCCCAGAAGGGTAGACTCTCATTATGGTGTGTGGCCTGATCCCCAAGCCATCACCCAAACCCACAGAACTCCATCCCAGATCAAGCAATTCATCTCATTCTGACCTGTTGGCCATTTAAATTGCCGCAATGCAATAAAATTATATCATATCAGCAAGGATTTTACTAAATACCTAGTAGAAATAAAAGATACAGCATTTCCTTCAAGGAACTTAAAACCTAATCGAGAAAACAAACAAGTACCCAATAAATTAGAGAAGCATATGGAAATTACACATTAACTAGTGCTAGGTTGTATGACGCTAACTATGTGTGCTGTGGAAATTTTTTTTTTAATTGGAAGATCATTATACGTAAAGATCCAGGAAGGTTTTGGAGAAGAGACGGAACTGGTGCAGGATCTCAAAGAAAATATATTAGGTTTTGAAATGGCAGAGGTGGGATCCCAGGGGGTGGGTCAATGAATAAGAAGAAACAGTAGGAAAGTAGGAAAACTTGAAAGGTTTAACACATAATTTTAAATAAAAAGTCTTCATTGGAGAGGTTTTTAGAGAGCTTACCAAAGAATCTTACTCTTTTTAAAGCCATCAAAAATCATCCTACTTGGACATTTTCCCAGAATTCCACATCATGGCTCATATTGGGTTCTGGAGGCTGAAGAAGACACTAGAAACTTCTCCGCTTTATCTAAATTTTCACTTTAGCAGTTTTCCAGTAAGGCCTGGTCCTGGTAGAATGCCACAGAATGTCAAATCTATTATCTTCTCTTTCTGGGTTCTTTCAGGAAAAAATGGGGGGAAAATGGGAAATGAGATAAAGACCAGGAAAATCTAATACTTCCTTAGTTCTCTGTTAATCCAGCAGAGCTCCACTTCCAAATATTTCCACACAGATGAGGCTTCATGATTGACATAATATTAAAGCATTTGAGTGATATAAATTTTATTTTCTCTTTTCCATTCCTCTGGAATAAGGAGGCCACATCTCAAAGCCGAGTAACAGTACAATACTGTAGCTATGCTCTGGATCCACTGGCATTAACCCTTGATAAAGAAGGACATTCTTGCAGAATGGAGCAGGGGCACTTGGGTCATCCCTGGGCCAGTCAGTAATGTTCTCTGACCTCTCAGTGCCTCAGTCCCCAATCTTATAAAAGAAGGATAATGAGACTATTTTTGTCTATAAAGAATATGGAGATCCTCAGATTATAAAATCCATTCTTTTTTGATGAACCACAATGAGTAGACACTGCTACATTTCAAGGATTCCCAGTTAGTCTTAAAAAAAAAAAAAATAGACTGAACCAATATGTTAGGACTTGATAATTTTCTACATTCTCTGGCATTTACCAACCTTTTAAGGAACCAGAAAGCAATGAAAATTATTTCCCTGTCCAAACTTTATGTCAGGAGCTCCTTTTAAAATGATATTTTAAAATAATAACACTGTGTTAAATAAAAGAACATTATATAGCAATGAGGGCCACTTCATTAGGAGACTGTCAAATCTGATTTTAGAATTTAGCATTTGAATCTGCTTACAATCTTTCTGATGATAGACCAAGAGCATCAAAGAAGAGAGGCTAATTCTCTTAGGTTTGTTCAGGTTTTTAAATATTTTCCCTTACGTTGTACTGACTTGAAACAAGAGTGGGTAAGAGAGCTATGACTGGATTTAAGATCCAGCTTCATTCAGGGTAAGGAAGGAGTTTTTTGTTACTATGAATGTAATCTCAGCCATTTTCTCAAGGCTGTACAGAAGCATCTTCCTTTTGAGTTTGCCTCTATGTTTGCATTGCTTTCTCAACCATGATTTTAAAATGATTAATATTTTCCCTTTATCCACATAGAATCTAATAAATGTTCAGTCCCCTGTTGAGTGTATTGACTATAGAAAGGTAATGGAATCACACAAATGCATCCCACCTGGGCAGAGGTTCCCCAAAAGACCACACATGGGTGGATAAAAACAGAATCAGACATGAGGCAGGTTTTGTCCAGGGAATTCCTTGAAGGACACCTATAAAAAAGGCTACTGCCTTCTGTAGGAGATTGAGGTTCCGTGAAGATTTGTGGTTGCAGTGTATACAGTGCTCATGATGGTCTTATCCTAGAATTCAAAGATTAAGTGGACTGTAAAAAACCCTAAATAGAAGGAAAAAAGAGAAATCTTCACTCTTCACTAAGGAGCTGCTACATCAGGTTTACTAACTGATCCCAAGAAATAGTGACAGTCCTAGGAAACCTTCTAGATCACAGACTTCAGTGTTGAAGTCCTTAAGGATGCAGAAGTGAGCCAGGCTTACAATTGTCTTCCCATCACCTATCACTTCATCTTTCCTCTTCACCCCATCTCTGGGATGGCAGCAAGTGAGGGGGCAAATAGAATACAACTCCACTATCATTCGGACCAATCTGCACACAAAGCGATAGTCATCAAGATTTAAATTCCAAATCTTCATATTCCATTGAAGGACCCTACAGAGTCTCCTCAAAATTCAGAAAACCAATACTTGCCTCTGTTGGACAAAGGAGGAAACAAAAATGCTGAAAGCCACTGAATCATTTAATAGTCTCCATAAACCTATTGTGAACCAAAGTTTCATATAGTCTGAAGTGTGAAGGTGGGAGTCACTAACAGCTGGAGATAAAATCCAGTTCCTTACAATAAAGCAGTGTTGAGATGTGCAAATGATTGCTAGGGTTGAGAAAGCCCTGACAGACATAATGGGCTAGAATGACCGATTACCTTAATGTGCTTCCAGGAGAAGCAGACTCAAGTGTTTAGGTGTCATAATCATTAGTAACTTAGGCTGACCAGGATGATTATATCTACAATAATGCATTACACTAGCTCCTTTTCTACAGGGGCATCAATATGCTGATGAGAAAAGAAATGAGCAAACTTCATTTAGATGTAATATCCCTAAGAATGAAATTTCACAGATTTCAAGTTGTCTTATGAACAACTTAATGAAAACATATTTTTAAAGTACCCTCCAAAGTTGTTTACTAAGGAGGCAATCCCCAATCTGTAGGAAAATCATCATAGGAAAATCATCATAAGACCCAAAATACAAATGCAAATTTTTTTCCCACCTACGTTTTTAGAGAAGAAACTGAAACCAATTCCTTACACCCTCTCCCTGTCCTAGAATTGCTTCAGGCAGGGCTATAAGCAGCTCCCCATGGAATGTCACATCCCAGGGAGAAATTAATTGGTTTTCATCAGTTTATGTCAAAGTTTCTGTTTAACCCCAACCCAGAACATATCCTTTATAAAGTAAATGGCTTAGAAGTTACTACTTTGTAATGAAATCATAATTAAGATTCTGAACATAAATTTCTTTGTTTTATTGCTTTATTTAATTTTAACAATTAAAGAAAATTCGAGATTCTGCCAAATATTCTATCCTTTCTTGTCAGGTGGGGCCAATATCCTAACTGTCAGGAGGCAAAGTCTGTGAACTTCATGCCAAATAGCTACGTGAGCAAATAGTGAAATCAGCAAGCCATTTGTGGAGACAGAGGTGGAGCTGGGCTTGGTTAGGAATGAATCAGGCCATCCCACAGAGTGGGTGTCTCCTTCCCAACTGCTCTTCAGGGCACAATTAAAACCCCTATAAAAGGCCCAGCTCGTGGCTGCCCAGTACACTTGCCAGCGGTGTCAACGAGCACTCAACTTCTTCCTCTGGTGAAGTGGGTAAGTCCCATTCAATGGGATCATGTTCTTCTGTACCATTCTTCATTTTCTGGCTGTTGTAGATGTTGGGGGGCTGGGGGGAAGAGGAGAGAGAGTCTACATGCCAGAAGGCATCAGTATCTTACAGGGATGTCTAAATCCCACTAACTCCATGCCATCTTCTTGTAGTTGGAGCTATCACTCTGATAGAGACATGGCTCTTCTCCCAAGGCTCTGAACTCTATAAGTTTGCATGTCAGGAGTTGGAGGATACTCATGCATGACTCTGATGGGGTTCATCTTCCTAAAAACTGCCATCTCAAAAGTTTGGCAACCCTCAGTTCTCTTTTTATATTGGTTCTACCCAGTATGGGCTATCTTCATGTAGTTATAGCATCTAAGATATTGGAGTTGAGAAGTAATTACAGAATCCAGCTGGGTGAACCACTATACTCATGCAGTGAAGCTTTCCATGTATTCTTTTAACATTGATCTTCTGCTCGTTAAGTCTTGTTTTTCATAATGCCAAGATCCAAATGGTTTATTGGGTTTAACAAAAGCTAACCGGGGCCAGCCTGGTGGCGCAAGCAGTTAAGTGTGTGCGCTCTGCTGCAGCGGCCCAGGGTTCACTGGTTCGGAACCCCGGGCGTGCACCAACACACCACTTGTCAAGCCATGCTGTGGCGGTGTCCCATATAAACTAGAGGACAATGGGCACGGATGTTAGCCCAGGGCCAGTCTTTATCAGCAAAAAAAGAGGAGGATTGGCAGATGTTAGCACAGGGCTGAGCTCCTCACAAAAAAAAAAAAAAAAGCTAACCATAAGACCAATGTTATTCAAAGTTTTCCAGGTTCAGCTTGACCCATTGACTCTGGTAGCCAGTTGGGAAGTACCTCTCAGAAGCTTTCAATAATTGGATACCTGTAACATGTCTGAGTTAAGGCAGATAACATGTACTCTGTGTTTTCTGCACTGTATATCTGAATATTACAATGCCACCTTTGACTAGGAAGAAGTAGTGCTTAATCTTAGAACTGGTGACTTATGAATTATACTCCTAAATCTCTTATGGACTATAATGTTGGGAAATAATCCACATTCCCTTTTATTGTTCTAGTTACCACCAAATATTTTGCTGCCACAATTTAGGTGTACATGGCTTCTATCCACTTTAAGATACTCTCAGATCTTCCTTCACCTTTTGGCTTTCATATGTCCTCTCTGCTCAACTTTAGAGGAAGCTGCTTATGAGTAGCAACATATCAAATTTAAATTTCTACATTCTTCACTGTCTAATCTGAAATATGCTAGGAAGCAGGAAGAGAGAAAAGGAAAGAAGTTGGATAATCCAGATTGGATGGGCAATCAAAAGATGACTATAAGATAGTCTGAAGATAATTCCCTGGCTTAAAATTTCTCAGGATCTCTCTTCCCCTAAGTACAATATTCAAAGATAAAATTCTTTGAAAGTCCAGGTTGAAAATAACTATTTTTGTAAAGTCAAATTATTTAGGGATCTGCCTGAAAGTGTGGATAAAACCTCTCAAAGATCATAAATAGAGTTTTGATTCTGGATCTTATTTTATTGTTGTAGGTTTACTTGGACTTGAAGGAAGGAAAAAAATGTCTCCACTTCTGAGAAGCATCTTCGATATCACTGAAATTTTCAATCAATATGCCTCACATGATTGTGATGGGGCAGTACTAAGCAAGAAAGACCTGAAGAACCTCCTTGAAAGAGAATTTGGAGATGTTCTTCGGGTAAGAAATAAAAAGAAAAGGAATTCTTTATTGATTTAGGTTACGAAATTTCTTCTCAGGAGAAACCAGAACAAGGAATGGTGACTTTATATTCATTTTAGGCCATGACAGCTCTACACTACATCCCCTATTCATTTCTGAGTCTGAAGGTACTTAATTAGCATTGCAGTTTGAGTACTAAAGAAGATTCTAGCAAATATTTCATGTACTTGATGGCAACGTCAATGTGAATGAACTGTTCATGAGAAGTTATCACTAAAGGTGTTAGATCGAATAGACTTGGAAGGAACTTAAATTTACTTCCAAATTTCAACAATTAAAATCAGCCTGTTCTTTAGTAAAATGGTGTTACCATAAATGTTTTGTTCTGTTTTCAAACATGGGATAAAAATCAAATCAGGGATTCTGGCTATTTCAGACAGAAACGGCTGCTGCAAATCTTCACAAATTTCTATTGTATTTCTCTCAAGGATGAGTTCATTCTCATTCACCAGCTAAAAAAGAACTTGTGTTCTTTCGATCAGCATTAAATTACAAGATGAAAAACTTACAACGAACGTAGGCTTTAAAATGAGGTGTTCACATTTTACATGGGGTCAACAAGACTGGATACACACTGGGCCTTTTTCTAATTGCTCTTAATGTCTTTTAAGCGTCAACATATCATAGATAGACATTTTGTGTGTGAGTGAAAGTTTACTACCTGTAAGTAGTATACTGTAAAAAACAATTTTTTTCGTCTTTTTCATAGAGACCACATGACCCTGAGACGGTAGATCTGATCCTGGAACTTCTGGATCGCGACTGTAACGGGCTTGTCGATTTCAACGAATTCCTCCTGTTCATTTTCAAGGTGGCTCAAGCTTGTTATTACGCTCTCGGCCAGGCCTCGGGGCTAGATGAGAAGGGAACCAAGTGTGAGGGAAAGGGGAACCCGTTACAAGATCGCAGGCAAGAAGACCAAAGGAGATTCGAGCCCCGGGAGAGACAACTGGAAGAAGAACGCAGGCAGAAGAGGCAGGAACAGGAGAGGGAGCTCGCTGAGGAAGAGAAGCAGAGGGAGAAGCAAGAGAGACGTGAGCAGCGGCTGCAAAGGCGAGAACAGGAAGAGCGTCTTGAGGACGAAGAGCAGCTGCAGAGGCGCAAGGGTCGGGAGCCTGAAGAGTTTCCTGACCAAAAGCAAAGGCGAGAGAGGCAGGAGCAGCGCGAGCGCCAGGAAGAAGAGCAGCTGCAAAGGCGGGAGCGGCAGGAGCTGAAGAGGGAGCGCCGCGAGGAGGAGCAACAGCAAAGGCGAGAGCGGCGAGAGCAGCGCGAGAGGGCGCTTCAGGAGGAAGAGGAGCAGCTGCTAAAAAGCGAGAGGCAGCAGAGGGAGCGCCGGGAAGAGGAGCTGCTGCAGAAGCGAGAGCGCCAAGAGCTGAAGAGGGAGCGCCAGGAGGAAGAGCAGCAGCTGCAAAGGCAGAGGCGAGGGCGCGAGGAGCCCCGCTTGGAGCAGGAGAGGCGCGAGCAGGAGCTGCGCTTGGAGCAGGAGGAGAGGCGCGAACAGGAGCTGCGCTTGGAGCAGGAGGACAGGCGTGAGCAAGAGAGGCGCGAGCAGAAGGAGAGGCGCGAGCAGGAGCTGGCTGAGGAGGAGGTGGAGCAGGAAGAGGCCCGCGAGCAGGGCAAGAGCCGCACCCCAAGGTGGCAGTGGCAGCTAGAAAGCGAGACTGAGGCCCGTCAAAGCAAAGTCTACTCCAGGCCCCGCAGGCAGGAGGAGCAGAGGAGCCGCCGGGAACAGGAGGAGGAGCAGACGTGGCGCCAGGAGAGCGAGGGACAACTGCGGGAGCAGGAGGAGCGCGAGCAGCGGCTGCGTCAGGTGGAGCAGGCGCGCCTGCAGGAGGAGGAGGAAAAGCAGCGCCGCGAGTTCAGATGGCAGCGGCAGGCGGAGGAAGAGAGCGAGAGGCGCCGCCAGAGGCTGTCGGCCAGGCCCCCGTTGCGGGAGCAGCGGGAGAGGCAGCTAAGGGCGGAGGAGCGCCGGGAGCGGGAACACCTGTTCGGTGAGGAGGAGGAGGAGCAGCGCCGCCGCAGACGCGAGAGGCAGCAGCAGCAGCAGTTCCGCCAGGAGGAGAGCCTCCAAGAGGATCGCGAGAGGAAGCGACGCCAGGAGGAGGTGCGCCGCGACCAAAAATGGAGGTGGCAACTAGAGGAGGAAAGCCAGAGACGCCGGCACACGCTGGACGCCAAGCCAGCTCTACGAGAGCAGCTGAGTGAGGAAGAGCAGCTGCAGCGCGAGGAGGAGCAGCTGCAGAGGGAGAAGAGGCGCCAGGAGCGGGAGAGCCAATATCGGGAAGGGGAGCAGCTGCAGAGGGAAAGGAGGCGCCAGCAGCCCGACAGGCAGTTTCTGGAGGAGGAGGAGCTGCAGAGCCTGGACAGGAAGCGGCAATTCCGGGGTGAGGATCAGCGGCGTGAGCTGAAATGGCAGTGGCAACCAGAGAAAGAAAATGAAGTTCGTAATAACAGAGTTTACTCCAAACGCAGAAAGAACGAAGAAAAGACCCGGCAACTGGAAGAAGCCCAGGTGCGGGAGAGACAATTCCAGCAGGATCGGTGGCCCCTACAGGATGAACAGGAAGAGGAGAGAGAGCGAGAGCAAGAGAGGAGGAGCTGGCAGCAACGCGACAGGCAATTGCTAGCCAAAGAACTGCTGGAGCGAGAAGAGCAAAACGAAGCCAAAAGGCGAGACAGGAAGTTCCGAGAGGAAGAGCAGCTGCTGAGAGAGGAAAGAGAAGAGAAAAGACGCCGTCAGGAAGAAAACGGAAAGTTCCGCCAGGAGGAACAGCAGCTGCGCCGCAGGGAACGCGAGCAACAGCTTCGCCAGGAGAGCGACAGAAAGTTCCGTGAGAAGGAACAGCTCCTGCAGGAAAGGGAAGAGCAGCTGCGCCGCCACGAGCGCGACAGAAAATTCCGCG